GATTGCTAAATCACTCGCGCTGGTGTTAGGTGCCCCCCTCAAACACATTCTGAGGGTAGGCTTCTGGAGAACGCAGAACGTCTTCATCAACTACGACCTAAGGGACACCCAATCCATTGAGCAGGGTCTCTTCAGGTTAGGCCCCCTCGTAGCGGGTCAGGCTTACCGACCCAGCCTGAACGCCCACAGGAGCCCCTGCGCATAGGCGATAAGTCAGTCTCTGCATTCTGATTGTCTGTACCACTAGCACTTCCTGGAAGCTCCCAGGATTCGCCATATGGCCTTGGTCACGTGGTTCGTGACGTTAAGGAAAGAGAATCTTGGGGCATGGGGCTTCCCCTGACCTAGATTATATCTCTCCGTCACCGGCAGAATCCCTGATTAATGCCTACAGTTCAAAATAGTCATTTTGACTGACCGGAGTCTATGGTGGGTATGAACTATGTGAATAGGCGGGTTCGGAGAACCCTCTGCCTAAATTTCTGATATCTCAAAAAATCAAATCAAATCAGATTTAAATTGAACTTATGGTAGAGGGAATAAATTAGACTGAAAATCACAGATGTAAAATCAAATTTATTTTCTGTAAGTATTATAAACTTCAATAATGTGGATCACATTGTTTTCATGTTGTACATCACAAATATGGCACAAATATTAGATACCAAGTTTTTTGTTTGACCATCTCTGTACATTAGCCTGTCTGAACAAATTAAATTCTGTTTGGATATAAAAAATGCATGAATAGCATATCCTGTTTAATTTCTGACCATACATGTATATTACGATTTTGTAAATGCCATTTCATTTATTACATCTATATTTCTGTTGATAATAGATCAGCCAATTATTCACTCTCAATTACTAAATATGCTTTTGGTTCATATTAAATTAATTTTTGGCATGAATAACATTTGCCCTTATTTCAACAGGGACTATATCATTAACAATGACTTATTGACTGTGGAATACTTCTAATAGATACTTTCACCAAAAAACTGATTTGGAAATTCAAAAAAAAAACATATTCATACATATTTCTTTCACTATGATGTATTTATGCAATATTAAAACATGGCAAAACCCATGAGTAAAAGCCAAGTGTCCAATTCACTTTACTATGCGCTAACATTGTACATTTAAATCTTAGAATATATGAAAAAAGACAATGCAATAGTTCAAAATATCGATAACATTTTGTTCTGTCAGTTGTTCATTTTATAATACCTGAATATCCCACACTAAAGAATTACAGACATTGGAATACAGTGTTAGGTTTGAGTGATTGATAACACTCAATTTTCTTACAGCATGTTGCAGAGGTAGTTATTGGTGCTCCGTATCAAGTGACCCCTGAGTTATTAGATCACTTTAAAGTGGATTTAGTATGCCATGGTATGACTCCAGTTATGGCTGATGTGAATGGATCCGACCCATATCAGGTGAGTTAGGTATCTTTGGGTTGTGTTTAGACACGAAAGGTGGCAGTGCTCACAGCTGCATGTACATGAACATTCCCTCCTTTCAAATATACTTGGGATTTTTTTAATGATTGTCAACTTTCTGTCCCTGAAGGTACTTGTTTACATATGTTACTTTTATGTCACTTGTTGTGGATTGCGTATGATTTTGATTGACCCAAAATTCATCTTGCAGTCAACTTTATCTGTTTGGCAGTGAGAAAACCTAAATACAATATCATTTATTTACAAAGCAAGTGAAAACACTGTTTCTTGTCATTGATGATATAAATACAGATTTTGGTGAAAGAACAAGCAATTCAAATTACCTATTTTCTTTGAACAATTGAAAACCAAAAATTCTCCATTTCTCTATCTGTATA